GGTGGGTGGGTATTGAGGTGTGGGGGTGGCAGAGGCATTGGAAGGAGGGTTGGGGGCACTGGGTGATGGCAGAGGTGCTGGGGGTTTGAGGGGAGTGGGGTGGGGAGAAGGGGAGGCCAGGGGCAGGCTGGCTGCAGGGTGGGTATTGAGGTATGGCAGTGGCAAAGGCATTGGAGGGCACTACTGTGGGGGAGGGATAGAGGCACACTAGCTGCAGAGGGAGGGTTGGGGGCACTGGGTGATGGCAGGGGCCCTGTGGGGCTTGTGGGGGCTGGCCTCACTGGCTGTGGGGAGGGGAGTGGGGATGCTGGGGTTGTGGCAGTAGCATTGGGGCACTGTGCAGCTTCCCTTCCCTGCCAGACTGTGCCCGACCGGAGTTAAAGGATAAGGTAACCAGTTATCACTACACTTACCTGCTAAAGGATTAGCTGTTTAACCTTTCACATCCCTGCTGGGAGGCAAGTGGGGCTGAAACTCAGGGGCACGGGGGGAGCATTGGGGAGCTGGAGGGGCAGGAGGGTATTGGGGGGGCAGCCTGCAGGGGGGGTATTGGGGGGCCCGGGGGATGGTGACACTGGCCTTGGGGAGAGGGATGGGGATGCTGGGCTGTGGCAGAGGGGTTGGGATTTAGGGGGCAGAGGGCAGGGTATGGGGGGCACTGCAGGTGGGGAGAGGGGGTGGTGGAGATGCAGGAAGGGTGGCAGGACACTGGGGGGCTCCCTCCCTCTCAGAGGCTGAGGAGAGAGGGGGACGCTGGATTGTGGTAGGGGTGCTGGGGGCTCATGGGGAGAGGGCTGGGGATGGAGGGTACTGGGCACAGGGGAGAGAAAGGGGCCCTGAGTGGGCTTGTGATGGGAGTGGGGACACTGGGAGTGTGGAAGGGACAGCGGGTGTTTTGTGCGTGGAGGGGTGAGCCAGGTGGGAGCGCTGGCTACCCGGGTATGAGGGAACCAGGTGGGAGCACTGGCAAGGGGTCATTGGTGCCTCAGGCTGGGGGTGTGAAGAAGGGGCTGGAGCAGTCTGTAAGGCAATGTCCATGGTGCTGGGGCACAGCAGGTGCTGCCCTTCTGCTCCCCAGCATTGTACCCACTGCACAGGGTCCCTGGGAAGCAGCTGCCAGCCGTGTTTCCCTCAGCAGGCACTAACAGAAGGGTTGCTTGGCCCTGCTGCTGTCAGTTTTCTGTCACAGTTGTGACAGTCACCAACGCCTCAGGCAGTTGTCAAGGTGTGAATGTTGTGCTGTACTGAGCTTGCTTAATGGGACCCCTGATTGCCCGCTGGCAGCAGCGATGGCAGGAGCCACAGCAGAGTCAGGATATGTGGGTTCTTACCAATATGTGCATGTACATTGCAGTTGGAGGTGTGAGCGCAGCACAGTGATAAGTGCCTGAACTAAATTCTGTCTAAAGTTGTAGTGGTTTGGGCTTCAGCCTGGCCTCTGCGAGCTGGGGGAGCACCAAGGGCCCTGAGGCCTTGCCTGTGTTTCCTGCAGCTTCCCCAGATAGAAGCTGGTTGTCTAGTACTGTATTTGGTAGGGCTGGACAAACAGCAAAATGAAGGGCAGCCAGGTGAAAGTGTGATTACATTGCCTGTGTTAACCTTGGGTACGAGACTGGTTTGTTTGCCCATGTGGCAGCATCCTTATTACCCATTGGAGCTCCACAAAGTTAGCAGAAGTGTGCCAGTTTGTGCTACAGTCGCACCTTTGTTTTGCTGCATAGATATCCCCCGTGATTAAAAATGCCTGAGCCTTACCAACACCGTGGTAACTATTCCTTTGAGTTTACAAAGGGTGCTGAATGATGGAGCTGAATTTTTCTAATGTAGGTGCAAAGTGGAGAACATTTGAGTGAAATGAGGAAGGTTTTGATTAGGTAACAAGGCAAAGGGAAAGCAGGACAGCAATAATTTAACTAGGAAAGCACAGTAAATTATAAAGAGGATTTTATAGAAAATTAGTTTTCATAGGTTCTTAGCTATAAAATGAGGATAATGATACTGGCATTCATTGTAACATGCTTCAATAGCTAAAAGATGTGCTAGTTGTTAATTTTTTATTATTTTATTCTGTTTAAATATTGTTATGCATTTGTGTTAATAAAAAAAACTATATATATATATCAAGTACAATACAATAAAATCACACTTTGGGGTACAATGTGTGACCACCTACATCATGTTTCAGTGACGTCCCTCAAAGTCACTGTCCCTTAGGTTTTTACTCAGAAGGAAGACAGCCAGTGTCTTCTGTTTTCTTAATAGTCATACCTTTGCTTTGCAGTATGATTCTGGTGCTTTTGTTCTATAGACCTCTTGTATTAGATAATTTTAGGGTGGCAACCAAGAGGCACAAAAGCCTTCATATTTGCCATTTAGTGAAGCAGATAGATTGCTTTCCCATGGTGAATATGTACCGAGTTGCCTCGCTCCATTCTCCCACATTGGGCAAGGTTGCCGATTTCCATGCTCTGGCTATCACAATGACAGCTGCTGAGATGAGGTGGCTATGTAGAGATCTTTGCTAATCTGTGGTTGGAAAGTTTGAAAAAGTCTGAGATGGAAAATTTTGGGTGAAAGGGGGGTGTAACTATTAATTTTCAAAGTAATCAGTAGGCAAGGACTTTAGTTTCTAAAAGTAGAATCAAGGCAATGTTTATATTGAATTGCATCTTGTCCTTTTTATGCTCAATTTAAGGATAGTATAAAATGCATTATTGAAAACATTCCAGGTTTTTTTTAGACACCTTTATAAAAATTCATGCTTGGTCTTTTCCAATGCTAGAAGAATGCCAGGAAAAACAAGGGTGTGGAAAGTTAGACGGTTGAAAATACAGGTTTTTTATGTTTTTGACGGTCTTCTCTTTAACACTAAAATGTGGCAGTACTTATAGAGAAATATAGGTGCCTTGACTGGGGTAGTGGATTATTGAATAGGTTTCTTAGTTAAAGGTTCTGCCAAAAACTATGAGGAACCCTCTCCCCCCTTATTGGGACACATTGTGTGTGTGTGTGTGTGTGTGTGTGTGTGTGTGTGTGTGTGTGTGTGTGTGTGTGTGTGTAAGACTTCATTTTATACGGTTTTCAAAAAAAGTTTTTTAAAAGCCCCCAGCCATGAAAGCACTGTATAACATCAATATCATTCATTATCCTGGCTTAATTTCTTAAGGCTGACTACTGTCAAATTAATACTAGTTCCTAGTTTTTCTAGTCACATGGCAAATTAATCTGTTTCTGAATCTGTTTAATTTGAAGTGAATAGAGCCTGTGTTACCCCCATACTGACATCCAGACATACGATTTGTAAGCACTACCTAAATTGCTTTGATGATAATCATTGCATTTCAAAGAAGGCTCCTCCCTGTAAGGAAAGAGTCAGATTATGCAAATTAAGTACGTGAAGTTTTGGGATGTATGGTTAACTTGAGTCTCGCTTAGAGCTAATGGAAATCCTAAATAAATATTCTTGACTAAGACCACAGCTATTTTTTGAAGGCAGTGGGGAACATTTGCGGACATGGGTATGTAGACACTTTAGGTTGAGTTGAGTGGGGTAGAACTCAGGACTAGTGTGGAGGGATTTTAGCTCGCTGTCTCTGTAGCCTACTTGCTTTGCTTTCAAATTTTCAGATGACAACGGCTTTGTGTTCTGAGTGGTCTTGGGGCCAGAAGTCTAGGAAATGTATGTTTTTCCTTCATTATTTGACAAAAAGCAGCTAACATTCAAACAATATTGTTCCTCTTCTTTGCATGCCTATTAACTGACTGTAAACATGGTAATCGAATCACTGAATGTAGTGTATATGATTTGTATAGCATCAACATCAACTGATTTCCTTCTTGACTTCCAAACTGAGGTTTATATAAACTCTGTTTCTGAGCGCGAGGTTCCATTCTCTTTTTGCATTCTCCAGTTCCGTTTTAATCTTCCAACTGCACTACTTAGTCTTAGAGGCTTTTCCTGGCTCCTCATCATGTAGCTTCCTTGCCTAGCCTCTCTTTCTGGCATCAGAACTAACTCCTGGAGTTCTGCCCTGGCTCCTTAATTGCTGCTGCTTCTCCTTCTTCTGGACTGTTTCAGTTTTCGTGTTTCAGTTCAGCTTTCCAGACCTGTGAATGTCTTGCTTATTGGGCATCCTACTACTTTGTCGTCTCCTGACCTGACAGTTTGTTTAACTGTATTGCACAGCTCTACTTTGACAGCACAAGACAAAACACTGTTTCACATCTGACACTTTTCCTTCTTTTGGTCTGTTTTTCCTGCTTCCCAAATAGGCATAAAAAGAAGGGTTGGTTTTTTTCCATTTAGCAGTTAAAATACTTGAAGATTACAGTTAGATGCAGAAGGAAAGAACAGTGTGTGCAAAACTTTTCCAGTCACCCTGTGTGCACATGTGTGTGTTGAATATGAAAACATTACTGTTTTAATAACTGCATGCTGTAATTTTGCCTCTTGTACAGTTTCTAAGATGATGATTTAATGCAATAGCTTCATCTTGAATCAGAGGATTTTAATTTCTTTTTAATGGGAAAGCAACATTCTTTAAGCAACTGAAAAAGGAAAACTCACTCTTTATAATTTCTAAATTTAGTTTCCCTTTTAGCTGTAGTCCCTATATTTCATTTAAATTTCAGTAAGGTCTCTCCATTATCAGTTGTGTCCATAGGGAAATCTCTTTTTATAGGATAGCTAACAGTTTTGTATCCAGCACTTTTTCATTTAAAACTTAAGTAAGTGATGTGTTTATTTGAACACAAATAAAATTTCTTGTTTTCATAGTAGCCCTGCAAGAAGATATTGTATAATTTCAAGGGTGAGCAATTCTTTAGTGCAGTGGTTCCCAATCTGTGGTACGCAGACATCCTGTCAGTGGTATGCATTAACAGATTTATTATAATGACTTTATATGGCAAAAATTTGCTGGTGGTACTTAAGGCTGTATCTTTATAAATTGGTGGTACACAATCTGTCAGAGTTTGGGAACTGCTGCTTGAGTGATTTATGATGATATATTAAAATCTAATATAATCGTACAGATTTTAATTGCTTATAGATTCATAGATGTTAGGGCCAGAAGGGACCTCAATAAATCATCAAGTCCGATCCCCTGCATAGCCAGGAAAGTGTGCTGGGTTCAGATGACCCCAGCCAGATGCCTATCCAACCTCCTCTTGAAGACCCTCAGGGTAGGGGAGAGCACCACCTCCCTTGGGAGCCCATTCCAGATTTTGGCCACTCTAACTGTGAAGAAGTTCTTCCTAATGTCTAGTCTAAATCTGCTCTCTGCTAGCTTATGGCCATTATTTCTTGTGACCCCCAGGGGCTCCTTGGTGAGTAGAGCCTCACCAATTCCCTTCTGTGCTCCCATGATGAATTTATAGGCAGCCACAA